GATTACAGAAAGGCATGAATACCAGGAGGCAGAAATCTTGGACGGCCATCATAGACGCTGTCTAGTACAAAGGAGATAACAAACGATGCTGCCTTACAGATTTTCATATATATATTGTGGCGTACAGCATATCGAGTTGTGCACCTCGGCATGGAGTTTTTAGGTCTTAGGGCATGTGAATCTTCAACTTTCCGTGACAATGCGAAACTTTCCCCAAGTGGTTATACCAATCACATTCCCACTAACAACAAGTGAAAATTCTGGTTTCTCCGTATCATCACCAACACTTTTTATTATCAGACATTTTATTTTTGGCCACTATGATTTATGTAATATGTGATGTATTATAGCTTTAATTTGCATTTCTAATATTACTAATGAGGTGTGGCACTTTTTCATTTATTTATTGGTCATCTTGGATTTCCTGTTTTATGAAGTATCTGCCGGTATCTTTTGTCTGTTTTTCTACGGACTTTTCTTACTGATTTGTGTGAGTTCTCAATATAATCTGCACGCTTGGGCTTTGACAGTTACATGTGTTGCAGGCATCTTCTCCAGCTTTGTTTCCTATCATTTACTCTTTTAAATCTGTCTTTTGATAAACACCAAATCTCAATTTTAAAACAGCTGAATTTATCAGTCTTTCCCTTTATGAATTCTTGGACTAAGCCTGTCTTCCAGCTATTGTTTTCCACCTGTCTTCAACTGTACCCCCATCTTGATGCCCCCCCTATTGTCTCCATAAAAACATCTCTTCTATTCTCTGGACACATGAGTTTGACTGCTCACTCGATGGCTCCACCTCCATATCCCACAGACAGTCCAACACCAGTTTACCCCAAACTGAACTCACCCCTCCAAGTTCACCTGCTACCACCCTACCACCCCTAATTTGTATTTTCTAACTCCATGACTGACACAACTATCCACCAATCACAAAGCCAGTGTCTTGTGAAATTGCCTTGACCACTCTTTCTTTTATAAGGATCCATTTTTTCTGATTCCACAATCTAAACCTTGCCCCACTCTGTCTTCTCCTCCATGTCTCCAATGCCAGAATGTAAGTTCCATGAGACCAGGGACCTTGTCCAGCTTGTTCATTACCACAACATCAGTAACCGATAGTGCTTAACAGCATGAATTCTGGAGCCCGATTACCTGATTCAAATCCTGACTCTGTCAATTATTAACTATCTAAGTAAGAAAGTTATGTGACCTCTTCTCCCTCAGTTTCCCCATTGGTAAAATTGGGGATGTTCATAGTATTGATTCATAGGGTTGTGGTGAGGGTTGAATCAGTTAATGCATGTATGGTACTTAGAAAAGAACAGGGCACATAGTAAGCACTCAATAAATATTGACTATTATACCACCTAGCATGGTGGTAGGGTATAATATTAATAGTCAATATTAACATTAATAGCCAATATTTATTGAGTGCTTACTATGTGTCCTGTTCTTTTCTAAGTTCTATTATACCCTAGCATGGGTGGTAGGGTATAATATTACGCATCAAAATATATTTTAAGCATCAAAAAATATTTATCATCAAAAGCTAAGCATCAAAAGTATTTATCAACAGAAATGAATGAATGCCACTGCTCTCATTTAGACTCATTATCTTTGCTTAGACAATTGCAGTAATCTCCTAACCGGGCTCACTTTCTACTAACCATCCCATCTCTCATTCCACTCATTCTATGCACTGCCATTAGGGTTATAACTTCTTGTATAGAAACATGAAGGTGTGGTGTCATGCCATTGCTTAACACCATCCTGTGGATCCCAAACTTCACAGGGAGGCAGAGCAAAGTCCAAACTCTTCAGCAGAACGCAGGTGCATGAACGTGTAATCTGGCGATCGCCTACCTAGCTCTTCTCCCACCTCCACACTCCATTTACCTGCACTCCATTTACCAAACACACTGCACTCACACACACACAACCTGCACTCCATTTACCAAACCACTGGCAGTTCCCAAATGAGCCACATCACATTCCTTCATTCCTCTCCTGCCCAGAACGCCCTCTCTCTGCCCTGTCCAGCGGACAAAATCATTTTCTTTTTACTCCAGCAACTACATCAAGTCCCAGATGTAGGCACTTCCAGGCAGAGTTAGACGTATACATTATTACAGCATTTATCAAATTACATTATAACTATTTATTTACCTTTACATACCCACTCCCCCAGGCTCCTGAGAGCCAGATCATATTTAGATTTGTATTTCCGGCAAGAAGCACAAGGGCTATGGAAGCTTAATATACATTCGTTGAATGGATGGTTAGTTTTAAGAAGTACCTAATAAACCCTGGTATTTGTATTTCCTTGAATCTTGTTTTGGTTGCTGCCTTTTTTTTTTTTTTAAATAGAAATAGTCACTGCTGCTTATGTTTACAAGTTTATTGAGTTCTAATTTTATCCTTTAAAATGAAGATTGCTGGTATCATTCATTCACTCATGCATTCATCAACAAATATTTATTGGGAAACACTTGTCAGATACTGGATTTGAGGTGAACAAATTAGACATGACCCCTACCCTCATGAAACTTACAGTCTATTAAATCTATTAAATATGAAGGACAGACTGACCTTGAACCAATAAACATATCCATATAAAATAATCATTTGAAGTCAGAGTCATGAAGGAAAAGAATAGGCTATAAAGAGGAAGAATAACAATAGAAAAAAAAATTTTTTAAATGGAGTCTCACTCTGTCACCCAGGTTGGAGTGCAGTGGTGTCATCTCGGCTCACTGCAACCTCCACCTCCAGGGTTCAAGCTATTCTCCTGCCTTAGCCTACTAAGTAGCTGTGATTACAGGCACGCACCCCCACACCTAGCTAATTTTTGTATTTTTAGTAGAGACGGGGTTTCACCATGCTGGTCAGGCTGGTCTCAAACTCCTGACCTCGTGATCCACCCACCTCAGCCTCCCAAACTGCTGGGATTACAGGTGTGAGCCACTGTGCCCGCTGGGGACCTAATTTAGATAGAACAGTTAGGGAACTTTATTTGAAGAAGTTACGTTAGAGGCAACACTAAAAGATGGGTAGGAGTAAGCCGTGCAAAGTCATGGAGAAAGAGCATTCCAGAAGAAGGAACAGCATGTGTGAAGACCTTAAGCAAGTGGAAGGCAGCTGCTGAGGCTGGACCCTGGGAGGTGGGGGCTGGGAGTAGACAAGCCTAGAGAAGTTGTCAGGGGCCAGATGATGGGGTAGTTCATAGGGAAGGCACTGAAGGTTTAACATGTGGGAGCCACAGAACCTCTGGCAGGGCTATGCCTGTGAGCACCACATAGCACCCTGAGGATGTGTGTGCTACTCTAGGCTTCAGTGGAGAAAAAAGCAAGTGACAACCCTTCTGTCCCTACTCAGCAAAAGCTCTGATCACCAGCCCCCTTCCCCTGAACATACAGAAGAAAAATAATGGAAGTGCATTTCAAGGGTCGCATGTGAGATGACCCTAAGCTGCCCTGGCTGTTCAGGTGGAAGTTGTTCTCCTCCGCAGTGACCTCGGCTGTTGGAAGACATGGCTAGGCAGACAGAATCTAAGAGTTCTTCCAGGTGTGACATAAGTCCCTGGAGCTCAGTGACAGAAACCAGTATCCAAAGCCAGATGCCATCCTGGGGAGGGGGACTTTGGACGTTCCTGGAAGGCCGTAACACCGCCCGGAAGGCTCCTCTTTCCCACATATTCACAAAGCTCCATGGTGAGCCAGGCTGTGCTGGTCTTGCAGTGTCCACCTATGATGCGAGGTAAACAGTGCCACATGTCAAGCTGTCCCCAGCCTTGCCCTCGCTTCCACTACCAAAAGAGGGAACACTGGGATTGCCCCAGCAAGGTGTTATTTATGTCAGGCTAGGGCCACTGTGACTCCCAGCTCTTACTACTTTCTAGGTGCCCTTACAGACCTCCCCACTCCCCCCTGAATATACCAGCGTGTGAACACCCTCTCCCTCTCCACAGCCCCCCACAGTGGGGTTTGGGTGGGCAGGGAGGTGGCTTCATCCCTCTACATGCAGCCCTTGGAGACCTACTTAGACTATTTGTCACTCAGGCTTCAAGATGCCAGCCGAGGAAGGGAGCTGAGAAGACTCTATAATGAGATCTTTGCGCTGTAATTAAGTGCCAGGCTTTGTTTTACACCTGTCTTTCCCACCTCCCCCAATCCTGTCGCCAAACTCCTCCAGGCAGTGAGTGGGGAGTGTCAGCTGCTCTGCAATTACATCCCAAGTGGCAGGTGGCAGGGAGCTCCTCTGTCTTCAGTCTGCACCCCACCCCCAGGCTTCCCCCACCACCAGTCTTAACTAAGACAGTGCCATTTCTGTCCTTGAACTGGGTTTCACCCCAGAAAGCCACTCCACTTCTCATAAGGCTACCTCCTTTTAACCCTTTGGTTGCAGGGCCTCTGAGGTGTCCATTTCTTGCTTTTGACATGTTCCTTTTCCTGAAAGTTTCAGCAAACCCCAACAGCAGAGAGGGTGAGAAAAAGGAAAAGAGAAGTTAGGGCAGAAGAAGCACTGTTCTTAGAGGACAGGAAGGGTCTGTCTTCTCTCTGGTCCTCCACACAAAATCGGGGCTTCCTTCTGAAACATCCCGGCTCCCAAATATATGCAGTAGATTCTGCTGACAGAAGTGTGTCATTGTGATCTTCACATTTGAGCCTGAAGTTTAGCCTAGCTGAAGAAGCAGCAGATTGGGAGTCAGAGAACATGCGATGGAGCTCCTCTTTGACCCAGCTGTGCTTTTGGGCAACACTTCAGGCCTTCGGCCTGGGCTTCCTCCTCTGTACGATGAGGAGAGGATGGGAAGGGGCAGTGTTGGCCGGGGTGATCTCGATGGATACTGTGGGAGTCTACAGAGGCCGCAACATAACCTCTGCCTACTCTCCCCAGGCCTGGCCTCCCACAACCCTCAGGGAAAGCCCTTCCCTGGGATGGGGGCGTGGTCGAGACGGGGCGTGGCCTGGCCGGTGGGTGGGCCCTTACCTGGGCGGGGCCGCGGGGCTTTCCGGGACCCGGGCGAGGGCGCCACTTCTGCGGCCTGGAAGAGCGAGCCCACGCGCCGACGGTGCAGGGAGGCGTCCCAGAGGTGAGCGCCCTGCAGCGGCAGGGGACGGGCCGGGGCCCTAAGTCACAGGCGGCGCAGGGCGGGGACGCGACTGCCAGCGGCGGTCAGACGCCTCTGCACCCTTCTCCCGGGCTGTCCCGGTCTGTTTCACCAGTCTATTTCCAATTTTCCTATTTCTCAGGGAGGCGGCCCTCCTGCCCCACAGCACCCCCGAGACGTGGAGTCCCTCGGCCCAGGGGTGGGGTGAGGGTGTCATGTGGATGCCCTGTGCCTGGCAGGTTGGAGACCTTGGCAGTGACGAAGTCACTCACATTCCTGCCTTGAAACAGAGCGGGTTCCTCTTGTGCAGTCTGTCACCCTCGCCCCCACCCTATAGAAGTGGCTGGTAGCTTGTCCCCAGTCACTTGCTTCCTTGGAAAAGGAAGTCAGAGGGCCACCTCCAGCAGGGCCATGGAAATCCCAGAAAGTCACTGATCTGCTTGACAAAAAGCCCTAAACACCCCACCCCACAGCACCAGGCAATGCACCCTGGCCAAAACTCCGTGGTAAATATTGCTGGCCTTTATGTTGAGAGGGGGGAAGACAAAAGTCTGCCTGTGAAGATCATTGCCCAGTGCCTACACTCCTGTGAAACCACAATTGGAAAGCCATTTCCTAAGGGGCGAGTGTGGGTTTGGGACTACACCATAGCTTAGGTGATCGACGGTTGTGGGAGTGAGAGTGCTTGCCTCAGGAAGGTGCTGAGGCCCTGTTGGGTGGGAATCGATGGCAGCGGCTCGGAGGAGGGAGAGCAATATTGTTACCTAGTGTTAGGAACACATCCATCCAGCACCATGAACTGCAAACAAGCAGAGTAACCCCACTGTCCTTCAGATACTGTTGCTGAGCAGTGACCTATCAATGAGGTGCTGTCTGGACGGCAGGTGCATGTGTAATGCTGACCTCTTGCTCAGTGCCTGGAAGAGGTACTGGTGACTCCCGGCTAATGCTAGGGGTAGCTCCCGTGCAGGAGCAGTCAAGCTCTTGCAGGGCCTGTGTGGTTTCGTCAGTTTTCTCTGCATTTACCCAGCCCCTCTGAATTCTGAAAAGTGCGTCCAAGAGTCTTGGACTCCTTGACTCACTTAACCCTTGTTCTTGTGTGCAGAAAACAATTCCCAGTGAGCCATGCACAGCGTCAGAAGGGGAAGCCCTGGAGCAGACCCTGGGAGAAGTTCTGTGGGGCTGGATGCTAATTATTCAGTTACTGGATTGTGGGAAAATTCCAGGGGAGGTCCCAGAGGAGGGACTGGGCAAAAGCTAATTACCAAGCAGTACAAAAATAATGTATATTTCTTTCCTTTTTTTTTTTTGAGTTGGAGTCTTACTCTGTCACCCAGGCTGGAGTGCAATGACACGATCTTGGCTCACTGCAACCACCGCCTCCTGGGTTCAAGCGATTCTCTTGCTTCTGCATCCCAAGTAGCTGGGATTATGGGTGCCCACCACCACACCTGGCTAATTTTTGTATTTTTAGTAGAGACAGGGTTTCACCATGTTGGTCAGGCTCATCTCAAACTCTTGACCTTAGGTGATCTGCCAGCCTAGGCCTCCCAAAGTGTTGGAATTACAGGTGTGAGCCACCATGCTGGGCCAAAAATCATACAAATTTTAACAAGCAGTATGACCATGCCTGTGCACATGGGCTTCATTATCAGTCTGACTGATTCTTCCTTCCAAAATGATGGCAGAGGATCACCCCTTTGGATGTTTACAGCTCTGAGCAAAGCAAAAAGCATTTAGATGCCATTGTCTGAATGCAAAACCAGCCCTGCCAGGTTGTCAGCGTGGTTTCTGAGGAGGGAGCACCTCTCCTGAGAAAGGTGTTTCCGGCACAGTGCCTCTTTTGTTCATTCCTGTGCAACAGGAAGTTTGGCTCTGCTGAGTGTTGCAAGCAAAACTCTCCTGTTTGTTTCTGTATGCTCACAGACTTGGACAGCAGACAACACTGGAATGTCCACTTACTGCAACCAGATGGTTTTATTTCACTCTTAGCATGTGGGAAAGAATTCAGAAGGCAGATCCAAACCTTCAATGAGATCTCTGAAGCTTAAGTGATTCCCACCCTTGGTCCCTTAATGTGTGAGCCACAGCATAGAGTGTCTTCAGCTCTGGGACAAACCCAAGTGTAAGGTATAGTCCCTGCTGTCCAGAAGCTCCTAGGTCTAAGTGGGAAGACAAAACCGGCACCTGTGAAACAATTAGAGAGTAATTAAGTGCCAAAGTATGTGACAGCATCTGCTAGCTCAAAGAAGATAGCTAGTACAGACTGACTAGGAAAGGAAGCGAGGGCTTCACAGAGCCAGCTGGTGTTCAGCTTGACTTAAGAATGATCATCAGGGCTGGACCAGGCCCGGGGAAGGAAGCATGAGGATATATGAAGCTCAGAATAAGCAAAGGAACTTGCTGCCCAGAGCCAATCCAAATTCCTGCAGTCCAGGAATTCTGGCTATGGGTCCTACCACTGTCTTCCTGCACCTAGCCATACTGTCCTCCTTAAAGGATTCTAACCATGCCTTTTTGTTTTGAGATGGAGTCTCACTCTGTCACCCAGGCTGGAGTGCATTGGTGCGATCTTGACTCACGCAACCTCCGCCTCCTGGGTTCAAATGATTCTCCTGCCTCAGCCTCCCAAGTAACTGGGACTATAGGTGCATGCCACCATGCCTGGCTAATTTTTGTATTTCTAGTAGAGACAGGATTTCACCATGTTGGCCAGGCTGGTCTCAAACTCCTGACCTCAGGTGATCCACCTGCCTTGGCCTCCCAAAGTGCTGGGATTACAGGCGTGAGCCACCGCACCCGGCCTGACCATACCTTTTTGGTGTGCCTTCTTCACTTTATGTCTACTCTCCTGCACTCAAGTTGCTCTGCTGAGCAATCCTCTACATTTTTTAAGAAGCAGCTCAAATAGCACTTTCTCCAGTGGAGACTTCCCTGGCTGGCCCCGACCACAGCCTTTGAGCAGAGTTGGAGGGTTCCTGCTTTGTCCTCCATTGCTCCTTGCATAGACCTCTGCTGAAGCTTCGCATTGTCCATAGGAGTTAAGGGGTCTTTGGCCCACTCACTGAAGCAGAGCTGTGTCTCACTTACCTAGGGATCCCCTGAGCCAAATTTGGTGTCTGACACATCAGAGGCATTTGATAAATGATTCTTGATTGAAATTCAAGCCCATATAGGGAAGAGTGAAGTGCTCCACCAACTTGGAGTAGAAGGTTTGGGCTATGTGTTATAAGGAGTCTCAGACTGGATAAATTAGATGGCACCAATTCCCAGAGGCCTTGAGGAGTTTTAAGGTAATGTCATGGTGGTGCTGAAAACTCTTAGCACTCCCTGCTGCATTCACTATAGAGTTCTAGAGTCTTCTTGATCTGGCCCCAGCATATCCTCTTTAGCCTCATCTTCCACCAGCTCCCACCTTGAGCCCACAAGTCTACCTTCTGAGTCACTCCAGTCCCAGGGAGCTCCCCAGACCTGGGCTCTCTCTTCTCCTTTGACCACGTTGTTTGGCAGCCTTAGCCAGGAATGCCTACTGCTCTCCCTAGCTAATTCCTGATCATTAGGACTCCAGATCTGAATCCCCTATGTGCAGAGGCCCCTCAGGCTGGGTTTTCAAGTTCTCCTCTGTGCTCCATAGCACTCTGCACAGCCTCTAACGGCATTTATCACACCCTCTTATGGCTCCTGGTTACTTGGCCATCTCCCTGCTGGTTAGCTCCCTGAAGGCAGTGATTGGATTAATCCTTGATGTATCCCCCATCAGCTAACATTGTTCCTAGAAGATGGTGCCCAATAGTGTGCATTGGATGGTAGGCTGAACCAGGGTAATAAAAATATCAGAAGAAGGACAAATCTACAGACATCTGAAAGGGGAAAGCTAGAATTTGGTGATTAGTTATATACAAAGAGTGTATTAGTCTGTTCTCAAATTGCTAATAAAGACATTCCTGAGTCTGAGTAATTTATAAAGGAAAGAAGTTTAATTGACTCACAGTTCTACATGGCTGGGAAGGCTTCACAATCATGGTGGAAGGCAAGGAGGAGCAAAGTCACATCTTACGTGTCGGCAGGCAAGAGAGCATGTGCAGGGGAACTCCCATTTATAAAACCATCAGACCTTGTGAGACTTATTCATTATCATAAGAACAGCCAGGGGAAGACCCGCCCCCATGATTCAATTACCTCCCACTTGGTTCCTCCCAAACACATGAGAATCATGGGAGCTACAATTCAAGATGAGATTTGGGTGGGGACACAGCCAAACCATATCAGAGAGTAAGGGGCAAGTTTCCTTAAAACCTACAAGGCAGGTGGAGATGGTATCCTGCAGGGGTAGGATTCTCTGGCCTGGGGAGAGGTCCACTTATATGTCTCTGAGTGTTTATGCAAAAATATTTTTGTTTCCTGAAGGATTTTCAAAATTTAAAATATTAAGTCATTTTGAGACATATTGAGTCTGATGTTAAAATGGGAATGTCCTAGAGTCAACTGAAATACACACTTTGAGTACAGGTGACGTCAGGCCAAGAAAAAGATTTTGGGAGCATGATGGCAACAGTTTAATTTGTGAAAGCAAATGTAGTCACTGAGGGAAGAAGCATAAAGCAGAGAACAAGGTCTTGGGGAAAACTGGAAGCTATGGAGGTGGGAAAAAGAAAAGGACTGTTGGAAAGTGGAATGACAGAAGGATAGGGAAAAAAATCAATAGGCCAAAAGAAGAGATATTTCAAAAAGAAATAGGTGGCTAAAGCTGTCCAATGCTTAAAAAAAAAAAAAAAAAAAAAAAAACAAAAACAAGGAGATTCAAAAAAGAGAGAAGAGGCTGGGTACAGTGGTTCATGCCTGTGATACGTTGGGAGGCCAAGGCAGGAGGATTGTTTAAAACCAGGAGTTCAAGACCAGTCTGGGCAACATAGTGAGACCCGCCCCCCCATACACACACACACACAAATTTTAAAATTAGCTGGGCATGGAGGCACATGCCTATAGCCCCAGCTATTCCTGAAGCTGAGGTGGGAGGATCACTTGAACTCAGGAGTTCCAGGCTGCAGTGAGCTCTGATCCCAGCCCTTCACTCCAGTCTGGGTGACAAAGTGAAACCTGCTCTCAAAAAAAAAAAAAAAAGCCAGACCTGAAGAGGTTACAGAGAGGCTAGTTACTGAGTTACTGGGCAGTGGAAATATTGGGTGGTGATTTTCAACTTCTCTGAGGAATTTGACCATAAAAGAAAGAAGGGAGGAGTGGTCTGCTCAAGAGAAGGTGTTCTGTTTGTTTTATGGTAAGAGAGACGTGCCTGCCTTGGATCACACTAGGGAAGGAGCCCATTTATGCTAAAGGAATATAGATAAATATTTATATTGTTCACATTGGTTGTATTTTATGTAAATCTCCCTCTCCTCTTTTCCCCTCCCCTGCAAGTGTCACATAGAACTTTCTTTCTGGGGAATTGCCAAAGTCATGGTATTGCTAAATCCAGTGACAGGGTGTTGCAACACTGAAATAATTGGTTCTCACCTCACTGGCCTGTAATAAGCTTCCCTCAAACACTTCCAGACAATTTTCCTTCCTAATAGTGCTAGCGAGGCATTTTCTCTTTTACTGTGCACAAATTAATCACAGCAATAATAGCAAATGCATAGATAGCACTTACTCTGAGCTAGAGACGATTCTGAGTACCTATGAGGGGTAAATGGTGAACCAGTATTCAAGCTCAACATATCTGGCTTCAGGGTCCATGCATGTAAACCACTATACCAAATTCAAGATAAGTAAGTTTGTATTTTACCATAGATTGATGTTCATGTTCTTGACACTACTACAAGATTCAAAGTCCTGAAGCTACTGACCACATGGCTTGTCCACAGTCACCAGACCAAGTATCTCTCTGGACGCAGATTCACTGTGGGTTGGACTAGCTTTAATAGTGAGTAAGGCCAGTCCTGATGGTGCATGTCTATAATCCCAGCACTTTGGGAGGCTGAGGTGGGCAAATCTCTTGATCTCAAGAGATGGAGACCAGCTTGGGCAACATGGCAAGACCCGCTTCTACAAAAAATAGAAAAATTAGCTGGGCATGGTAGCATGTGCCTGATAGTCAACAAGAAATCTGCCACATGCAAAGTATTGCAAGGGACCAGAAAATATAAGCTATATTTTCCATCTCATTTACTCTCCATAACCATCCCGTTTTGTAGTCAGGGAAACTGGATTTGAACTCAGAAGACCATAATAAAGGTAAAACCAAAAGCCACTTTTAGTCCTGAGTTTCTGTGATCTGAGATTCCTCCTCGTCTTGGTCAGATATATAACTGAGTTCAGATAGTTTCAAGACTACTTTTTATGTTTTTTCCCAACCTGTGAACCAAAAGGGTAGTGCGTATGAATCTCTAGCATGCACAGATGTACAAGAAACACTGCCTGTCTTCTATATTCTAGATCTTAATATTGATTGAGAGCCTTCATCTCATCTGGCTGGCAACCAGAGAAACCACCCCAGGTTATGCCACTGTGTCACAATTTCAGATCTTTTCTGCACTGCCACGATCCCAGGGACACGGATGCAGGTGTCTCCTGCTCCCGCATCTGGTCCACTCAGGTTGCCACTGAATGCACTCTTGTGCCTGTCTTGCCTAGCAAGTCCCCACTGCATCTAGACCACATAGCTAACTCACTGGGGTCCTGCCAGAGTCTGTCTTCCAGGTACCCCCAAACCCCTTTTCCCTTCCTGTCTTCCTGTTTCTAGAAGCATGCCTCTCTGCTTCTACCCACTGGCACCCCCCCACCTCACTTCCCCCAACTTGGCAAAGCCTTTGTGGCCCCAACCTAAGGCCTTGTTTGTGAAATCGAAGCCAGAAGAACCTGCAGGCTATTCCTGGTAGGGTTCTGATGTATACCTGCCCTGGGGCAATGACTAGGGAGCTGGCTGCAGAGGTGGAGGTGAGCCTGGGAAAGTAGAAATACAAGGAGAGGGGGAAAAAAAAGTTGTCTAATCTCAAAATATCTAGCCACAGTCACAAGCTCCTCTGAGAGTAATTTCTTGAGGCAGGGAAAAAAGTTGCTATTTAAAGCTAGGATATATGTAGATCCATTTTTTATTTGTACATTAATAACATTATTTTCCACTATGTATCTTGAAGATCTTCTGTAACAGCCTTGCAAATTTGCCAGAATGAAGAAGGAATGTTCTGCTCCAGGGAGGATTGACCCTGGTCTGTGATTGCTGTCATGACGGTACTCAGCAAGTTTCCTTAGATAACTTTAGAGTTAACAAGGATGTAAAAATGCTTCCAATTCAGACTCACCATTATACATATGCAGAAACTGAGGACAACAAAAGTTAGGCTTGTCTAGGATGCTCAGACTGTGGCTGAAGGAGGACAGAACCAAGATTTACCCCCTCCCAGCCTGGCACTTTTGCCATGGTCTCGTGTATCTTGGAAGTAACCACCACTAGCAAGTTGGAGCCAAGTCAACTAGCTGAGGATGTCGGAGCCTCAGATGTTAATTTTCTAGTTGAGAATATTGGCGTTGTCTGAACCTGGAGACAGGTAAGGATGTTCACTTTCTGGGCGAGCTACCTTTTCCCGAGGATTTTAAATGTTATGCTAGTTGTTATTTTTTAATAATCATTCAGACACAATTATTTCTTTCAATCAGATGCTTTAAAATTGTGTGCTAAAGAGTTATAATGTGCAGACAACGGGGGAGCCATTCTGAACCTAAACCATGTGGGTTTTCAACATAACTGTTTTCAGAAAATCAGCGACTTTACTTGCTGCTGTTTTTGTTGTTTTGTGGGGCTGCGAATCACCACCTACAGACAGTAAAGAAAACGGGAAGCTTTCAGGAAATTTCTCACTCATGCCAAAGAAACAAAATCACCCCAGTGCCTCGAGAATTTCCTTTCCCTCTCTCCTTTCCCCTGCAGTGGCTTCTAAAGGGAAAACGTTTCTGGTGTGGTGTCGTTGCGTAAATGACGGCTGCCTACTTCGGCAGGCAGGAGCTGGTGCAGTATTAAGCATGGGTAGCTGGATCTTCTGGTTTGGGCACTGGAGGGTCCTTGGAAGCCAGAAGCAGGCTGTTACTGCCGGGGGTGGGGGCTGGGGAGGTAGAAACTATGATTGCTGCGATTTTATAGGCAGTAAACGGGTGCTCAGAGAGGTTCAGCACTTGCCCAAGCTCACACACCTACTATGCTGTGGAGCTAGGATTTGAATCCAGCTACAAATTAAGTTGTCATCGTAATGTCTAAAAGCACTCTATTGCGCAAGCAATAGGAACTTCCCAGCGGACCTTGCAGCTCCTCCCCGCCCCGCTGGGTTCTCCCGCCGCGGCTCCGCGGGCTCCTCCCCTCGGTCCCCGCCCCTTTTGCGCCCCCTGCTGGTCTCCAGGGAAAGCGCCTCTCCTGAAACCAGAGAAGTCCACGCAAGCTGTCCTGTTTCCTTAGCTCCTAGGAAAGCGATATGACCCGTCCATCCCCCCTCCTCAAAGCCTCACATGAATTTTCTTTGAGGTACTCTCTGATGCTTCACCCTTAAGCGCTGAGAAAAATTCCGGGGCGGGGGGGGGATGCAATGAATGTATTAATATAGCCCCTTCTTAAAACCGATCATGCAGCATCTTGGTCATGCCTCATCCTGGGAGAATGAGGCAGCTCCCGTGGGCATGGGGATAGTGAGCAGGGAGACGAATTACAGGCTCTTTGGTCCTCACTGTTGACAGTGTGGTCAGTGGACCAGCAGCAGCAGCAGCAGCCGCAGCAGCAGCATCACCTGGGAGCTCGTTAGAAATGCAGACTCTCAGGTCCCGCAGCCCCAACCTTGATGAATCAGAATCACTGTTTCAAGGAGGTCTCGGGGAGTTTCAGGTTCTGAACTCGCTTTGAGGCTCTGCGGATGTTTTGCAGCATATTCAATTTTGATTTTGTTTAAAGGTCACAGTGACAACTAAGTTTGCAGCTGGATTCAAATTCGAGCTCCACAATGTAATAAATGTGAGACCTTAGGCAAGTGCTTAACCTCTCTGAGTTAATCATTTATAAAATAATGAAAAGCACTGTAAGTCAACTCTTCAACCTTCAGGACATCGTTCATCGAAATCTGAAACCCAATAACTGCGCACTGTCTTCTAACACAGCCATAATTTATCTAGAGGTACTGCTTAGAAATGTCTCACTCTGATGGTGACCTTAGTTCTATTTGTCCCTAGAGATCCACAAGATGTTTTGTCTGGAAGTTCTGTGCTCACTGGATAATAGGGACAGTGGAATTGTCCTCATCCTTGTGCTCGAGTCCTTGGAAACTAAATGACCCCAGAAATGTCACGAAAGAGATCTTTAGGTCCCAGAGGAATTGAATGGCTTAGACATGGACTTTCTGAACAAGAGGCTGGGCCAGAGATTTCTCAAGATCCCTTCAGCCTTGGTGTTCTATACACCTTGATTTACAAAATGGTCTTGATCTTTCCCAATTAAAATTCTGTTTAGTAGAGATACACAGCAAGATTTCAATTCTTCCACAAGAAACCTGCTGTATGGCACAGAAAAATATCTGTGTAATATTTTTTGTTTCTTCTTCTTAATTAGTTTTTTTATTCTCCCTTAGGAAAACAAAAAGCTCTTTCTCCTGACTCACCAAAAACTAAAATACTGACTACTATCACTGTGATGAGATTCCTAGTCTCAGGAACTGAAGTCTTTAAACAACCAGGGGACCCTCTGCCCCTAGAGTAAGAACATATTAGAAGTCCCCTGTGCTAGCACAAGGAGGTAAGTGCTTCTGGTAAAAAAGTATCATGTGTGTGTCTGTCTGTGTGTATGGTACATACATATGTACAAATATACATACACATGTATGTGTATTTGAGATAGGGTCTCTCTGTTGCCCAGGCTGGAATACAGCAGTGTGATCATAGTTCACTGCAACCTTGAACTCCTAGGCTCAGGGGATCCTCCTGCCTCAGACTCCCAAGTGGCTTGAACTACAGGTACACACCAGTATGCCTGGCTAATTTTTCTATTTTTTGTAAAGACAAGGTCTCAGTATGTGACCCAGGGAGGTGTTGAACTCCTGAGCTCAAGCAATTCGCCCGCCTCGGGCTCCCAAAGTTCTGGGATTACAGGCGTAAGCCACCATGCCCAGTCATATCTTCAAAATATTAATGGGGAAAAATATTGCTGGGGTACTTAAGTTGTGCCAAGCTCTACAGAGGGATCGAGACCAGCCTGGGCAACATGATAAAACCCCATCTCTATTAAAATACAAAAAATCAGCCGGGCATGGTGGCGTGCACCTGCAGTCCCAGCTACTGGGGAGGCTCAGGCAGGAGAATTTCTTGAACCCAGGAGGCGGAGGTTGCAGTGAGCTGAGATCATGCCACCGCACTCCAGCCTGGGTGACAGAGCAAGACTCCATCTCCAAAAAATGAGTGCCTGCCCTTCCAGACTTACAATCTAGTGGAGAAGGCATAATTTAATAAAAATGCCATGATGGAGATGTACCCAGAACATCAAGGGAGGGAGTTAAAGAGTGCATGTAGGCCAGGTGGAGTGGCTCACACCTGTAATCCCAGCGCTTTGGGAGGCCAAGGCATGTAAATTGCTGGATCCCAGGAGTTCAAGACTAGCCTGGGCAACATGGTAAACCCTTTCTCTACCACACACACACACATAAAAATTAGTTGGGCATGGCATGGTGGTGCAAGCCAGTAGTCCCAGCTACTTGGGAAGCTGAGGTGGGAGCATCGCCTGAGCCCAGGGGTTTATGGCTGCAATAAGCCCTGATCACACCACAGTACTCCAGCCTGGGCAACAGAGCGAGCCTTTGCCTCAAAACAAAAAGAAACCAGTGCATGTAGAACTGTTAGGCCTGTCTCATGGGAGAAGTGGCCTCTGAGGTGGCCTTTGACAGGTGAGTTGGGATGGGATGAGTAGATGAGACATACACGAGTATTCCAAGTCCCTGGACCAGCCAAAGCCGAGAGATCAGGTCGGGGCAGATTCCGAGAATGGCAAGTTAGATCTCCAGTGATGGGATGCAGTGTAGACACAACCAGGAAGGCAGGGTGGCTGGAGTTTCCCCCTCTGTGAAATGAGTGGGTTCAAGCGCTGAGGGCCTCTCCAGTCAGCCATTCCAGAATTCACTTACGGTCTGTGGTAGGGACCCTGAGGTCATCCTGAAGAGTTTGAGTGATATGGACATGAGGAGCCAGTGTAGACTTCTGATCAGAGCCATGCCGTAGGAAGCCCCCTCAGATAGCAAGTGAGGGATGAGTGTCAGGGTCCGGCTTACTCTGGGAGACCAGCGAGGTGGTCTCTTCCACATCTAGAGAGGAGGCAGTGGAGCCTTGCAGCCGAGCAGTGGCTGCAGAATTGGAAGAAGGGGAATGGATGCTGGAGGCATCCTGATGTGAAATTCACAGAACTGGCTGCCAGTTCTGTGATGCCCTGCTTGAGGATTCTTCCAGCTAGGAATTAAAAAACCAGTGTGACCTCACCCTCCTGGTTCGATTTAAAGGATATATACACTGAAGACAGAAATAAAGATCCATGAGCAAAGATGAATATGAGGCAGTGTCTGAGCAGTGAGAAGGGTCTCCGAAACACTGTAGCCCTAAATGCTCCGAACTTGGGGGAAATGCTACAAATATGCAAACTGGCTTTTAGGCTCTGTCCAGATCAGGAAGAAGGAAGCAACAAACTCATTCTCAGAAGCAGATGGTACAGTGGTATAATACTAGCAGATAACCACTCCCTGGCAGGAGAGAAGTGATGACCCAGGTAGGAGAGGAAGAAGCAAGCAAGTGACATGGGCTGTTCTGAATCTGCCCAAGTCCTCAGACCAGCCCATCCAAGCAACCCAGAGAACACTGCACCTGGCAGCCTTTTCTGCAGGGCCATGAAGAGGGAGGCAGGCATCAGGCAGGATGTGAGCAAATTCATTCATTCAGCAGATATTTGCCAACCTACATTCTAGGTGCTGGCGACATGGTGAACCAAAGAGAACCAAACAATACCTGGCCTCCAGAACGAAATACTGATTCACAAAACAGGCCACCGGTGGGCTTTTAAACCACAAACCAGTGAGCTTGACAGCAACTGTGCACCAACTTCTAGAGGAGATTTAGTAGGTGGTCTGCAGCTCTGTGGAACCATCCGGGGATCCCTGTCTCACAGCCTGTGTTTCTGAATGGCAAGTCACAGAGGACTCAGCCTGTTTCCAACCTGACAGGGTTACCCTTACCCTTTTCTAGAAACTCTAGGAATTTGGCAGGGCATTTGACAGTCTCTCAGGGGATCCCCAACCCCCACCCATTGCTAATCGAACAAAGACTGCACATAAAAGTACACCGTAAAAGGGAAATTTAGGCTACACTTAATAGACGTGCTTCGTATTATGGAATCATAAAGACCTAGAGAGGCAAACAGACCTAATGAGACCACCGAGCGTCAGTAAATAAATCAACCATTCTGCAGGGCACAGAAGCCTCATGTGCTGATTCTCTGAGCCCTCTTTAGAGAACAGTAGTCAGTTGTCAGGCTTTTACCCTGCCGTGTTAATCCCCGATGCTAATGACTGTTGCTGCTCAGGCGTGTGATGGGTCTGAGGACGTGGGTAGGAGCTCGCTTTCCATTTTGCTCGCATGAACGGACTGCCTGTTCCTGGCGGCGGAGTGCATTTTGCACTCACGTTTGTACAAGTGAGCTGCCCTCCCTCTCTGACCGCGTTAGCCTGAGTGTGAGCTGCCTGGGGCCCAATCACACCTGCCTGACCCCAGCTTCCCCTCCCAGGGGTGCTGCTGGGTGCTGCCGCCCCCACCCGGACTACGGCAGAGCCCTCGTCTCGGGCGCCGCTCCTGACACGGTGTCCCGCCGGCGGATGACAGGTAGAGGGCAGCAGCGCGCTCCGGGTCGGGAGCTGGGCCTCCGTCATCCAGAAACCCACTGCAGGTCCGCTGCGGAGAGGGCCGGGGCCAGGTGGGCTGGAGGCGAGGGCAGCCCGGTGCAGGGGGGGATCACTCTGCAAGAGGAAGAGAAAGAGGAGACGTGGAGAAGTCGCGCAGAGCACACGGCGTATTGGACTCTGCACACTGGTCTGGGCCCCAGTGTGCCTGGCGCGTGGTTTCTGCGAGTGGAGCCCAGACGTCAGGTGTAGCCGTGCAGGAGGCTGGCAGATGGGCTGGAGGAGCAAGGAGGCACCGCGGTTGGAGGTGTCGAAAGAGGGTTTGAAGAGAAAGCCCGGCGGGCCTGGAATGGTGGGGAGGCATGAGGAGGCTGACATCATGAAAGGCAGGGACGGCTTCAGGGCACTCTCAAGGCCATCAGAGAATGGTGCCGAGAAGTGAGCACGCACAAGAGCTGGAGGGGGCGGCCGTGCGGAGGGTCGGAGAGAAGGCCCTCCGGTCAGCGGTAGAGGGACATGACAGCAAGTTGTCCACGTTCTTGGAGTTTTGAACAAAGAATTGGACAAACCGCCCAGCAAAGCAAAGAGAGTGAAGCAACAAAAGAACAAAACCAGGGATTTATTGAAGACGAAAGTACCCTCCGCAGTGTTGGGGCAGACCTGAGCAGCGGCTCAGGGGCCCAGACATAGAATCTTCTTGGGTCCAAATACCCCCAGAGGTTTCTCATTGGCCACTTCATGCTCACCTTAGGTGAATGAAGTGGTGGCCTGCAATCAGGCTGATTGGTTGCAGAAAGCAGCAGACCAGAGGCTGAACTGAAGTTACAAAGGCTGCGCTCCTGTGCAAATATCTGATTGGTTGCAAAAAGCAAATATCTGATGGCTTGCAAAAGGCAACCAATCAGAAGCTAGGAGAAAGTTACAAAGTTTTATTTCTTTGCAAATGAAGACTCCTCCGGCAATCAGTCTCATTGGTTGTGGACAACAGCCATTCAGAGGCTGGAGTGAAGTTGCAAAGTTGCAAAGGAAGACACCTGCAATCAGTCTGATTAGTTGTAGACAGCCAATTTCCCATCTACTGTGCAGAAAATGTCAAAGGGAGTAGCCTTTGGTCCTCTTGTTACTTAGGCGTGGAAAGTGAGGGTTTTCCTTTCTATTTAGTTGTAGGAAGTCAGCGTGAAACAGCCTTAGGTTCCCTGCCTCCACACCCTTTTCTCCTGCCTCACTTCCCACATCGTTCCACTGTCAGGAATAACCGGCTCTGGGGGTAAGGTGGACCTCCAGGTGAAGATGAAGGTAGAAAGGGAGGAGAGGCTGAGAGGCTGATCTGCCACGGGGACCCAGGGCCAAAGCCCTTTGTGATTGAGGGGAAGTGACCACAGATCAGCAGAGGATGACTGAGAGACGCGCTGGAGCAGGACCGTGGCCCTGAACAACACATCAGCCATGCCCAGAGATGCCAGGCTTAGAGGTTAACATGCAGTACACAGAGCTGCGTGGCCTTAAGTTACTTAACTTCTCCGGCTTCAGTTTCCTCATCCGTAAAATGGTTACCTAAAGTCATGGTATCCAGTAATAGTACCTACAAAAGACTGAGAGGATGAGGGAAGGGAGGGAGCTCCCAGCTGTGTGGGGAGGAGCATACAGGCGGGGGTAACCCACCATATGGCATTACAGGGATTGGTGTCTATTTCTGTCCTCCCTCCAGTCTCTAGCCTCATGGTTCTCAGGCATAGGTATGCATCAGAATGACCCAGATGCATTAAAAAAACACTGCCAGGCCCCAGCCCCCAGAGCTTCTGATTCAGTGGGGCTGAGGTAAGGCGCAGTAATTTGCATTGCTCGCTAAGCCCAGGTGCTGCTGCTCCTGCTGCTGCTGCTGGTTCTGGGACTGCACTGTGGGCACCACTGCTCTGGAGTCTCTACAGCCCCAGCAGGGACTCTTGTTGAGGAATGACGGGCACGTAGTGGGAACCAGGCCTCGGACGAGTAACACTAAGACAAATTTCCAGATACAGCACAAGAAGAGGTAGTGCCGAATGAAAAGGCGATCACTCCAGCAGAGCCTTAAAGTCTTAGTGGTTTATGAAGGAAGTTAGAATTGCACCTGGGGAGCAAGTGCTGAGGTTAACGGCAGTGCAATCCCGCATCCGTTTTATTGGAACTGTTGTCAGAGGCAGAATGCTGGGCTGGAGGGGTGGCTCTAGCAATGTTTTGAACTTGACAATGCCCATTTGTTGGGCATGGTTCCAGTGGGATGCTGTATTGTGCATCTAGAGAATGTATTTGTCCTGGAAGAGTTCACTTTGTCCACTGCCCTCGAGCCTTTATCCAAGGCTAAACCCGCATTCTGTACTCACATTTGGAATTGGTCCAGGATTTTTATACCTGTGTGAATTTGGAGAAACTCTCCTAGACACCCATTTGGAAATGAATTCATGTTTTTCTCAGACAGTGAGTCCCCCATGCTTGCTGTTCCAATGGCCCTCCAGGTTTGGGCCCCTCACCTGCCAGGAGAGGTGTTCCTTCTGTAGCTCCACCTGACCACAGCCAGCCCAAGCCCCACGCAGAACCCGGGCCTGCCAACAAGCCTGTGACTGGTGTTATCTGTTAGGCATCAAGCATTAACTTGGCACAGGAGCAGCCCTGGCTCAGCTGGAGGCACCCACAGTGTGTGGGCGCTCCAGGAGCAGAGGCACCCCCGAAATGCAGGCTGTGTTTGCTGCAGAGATACCATGGCCCATAACTCCCCAAGTGAAGGTGAGCAGCCCTGCTGTCCAGGCAATTAAGTCAAGAAAGAGAACCGGCCCAGCTAATGGCTCGGATTAAAGCTAAATGAATTCCGCTCAAATGAAAGGGATACTGACCCTTCTCCCTCTGGCCTCATTATCTTAATTAACAGTGCTTGGCAGGAGTCTTGAGGCCTGCATTGATTGTGCTGTTTCTGTTTTTCCCCCTCAAAGCCCTAGATACACATTAAATCAGCCTTAATAATGAAATCCCAATACTCAACAGCCCTCAGATTTTCTCACCAGCCCTTCTTCCTCTAAGAGAATCACCTGGTTTCCGAGCTGGAGGGGGTCCATTAGGCCAGCACTTCTCAAAGCATGGCCTGAGACCACGAGCATCAAAGTCACTGGGATACGGCTCTAGCATGCACTTTCCAAGCCTCGGAGTCCTGTGGAACTGGAATATTGGTAAGTCAGGTTTGGGTATCTGTAGTGAGTTTTTTGGGTTTAATTTAGTGTTTTAAATTGTGGTAACATGGACATAAAATATATACCTCATATAAGTGGATTCATACAATACGTGTTCTTTTGCAACTGGCGTATTTCACTCAGCATGATGTCTTCAAAGTTCATCCACCTTGTACCATGTATCAGAATTCCGTTCCTTTTTAAGGCTGAAAAATATCCCATTATAAAGACAACAGATTCTCTTCATTTATTCATTCATTGGTGGACATTTGGGTTGTTTCCACCCTTTGGCTATAGTGACACTATTATGAATATTGGTGTGCAAATATCTGTTGAGTTTCTGCTTTCAATTCTTTTGGGTATACACCCAGAAGCAGAATTGCTGGGTCATGCGGCAGTTAGTTCTGTGTTGCATTTTTTGAGTCAGTACCATTTTTAAGCAGCGCACGTGGTTCTTAGGTGCAGTCAGAGTTGCAGCTAGAAGAGCAGGTGATCAGATTGTCTGCTGGTGGAATCACCTGAAGACTCTGAACAACCCCGGATGCCCAAGCCACACCCCACACCAACTAAATCAGCTTTTCTCAGTGGGACCCAGACATTTGTATTTTTTAAAGGTCCTCTGGTGATTCCAGTGTGTGGCCAAGGTTGAGAACCATTAGTTTCCATAGGTGATTCTCAAATTTTAGTGTGTATAAAATTCACACAATGGCTAGGGATACAGATTCCTGAGAGAGCACCCCCCCACCTGCAAACCCAAGAGGCTCATTTAATGCGTCTGTGGTCAGCCTGGGCTTCCTGGGTCCGAAGACTTCCCAGGTGATTCTAATGTGTAGCCAAGGCTGAGAGCTACTAATCTTGTTTAGTCTTTCAATGAAACATGAGAACACTGAGTCTGTGAGAGGTGACACACTCTGCCCAAGTCCTTGAGCTCATTAGGGCCTGAGTCTGCACTCAGGCCCAGGGCTGATTTTCAAGACAGTCCCACGGGTTCTCCATACTCTGCCTCACAGGTGCCGGGGGTAGAATCTTATATAGAACCCGCATCTTTTCTACTCTTAATTTGAACTGTAATACTTGAATTAGAGTACTGTTGATGCTGCTGTAAGGCTTGTGTTGGAATTTAAATTTGTTTCTAACATGATTGATGTTTTAGGGAACAATATTAACGTGTTAGGGAAATTATTGATATGCTAGAGAATAATATTAACATATTCAAGAATGTGAATTTCACATTTGCTTATGTGCAATTTCTTGCATGTAAAGGCAGAAAACTGCACCCAGCTAAACCAAGCCACAAAAGAGTACACAAAATACAACTCCAATATTAGTTGGCTACCTCATTCTCCATGTGTGATTTGAGCCACATGCACCCACATCTGTTGCTGTAACTTCCCCTCTGATATCATATAACCCTTCTTCCCCCATTCACAGTAACTCACTGGTCGGGCGCGGCGGCTCATGTCTGTAATGCCAGCAATTTGGGAGGAAGTTTGAGTCTAGCTTGGGCAACATGGTGAAACACCATCTCTACTAAAAATACAAAAATTAGCTAGGCATGGTGGTGCACACCTGTAATCCCAGCTAGTCAGGAGGCTGAGGCAGGAGAATCACTTGAGCCTGGGAGGCAGAGGTTGCAGTGAGCTGGATTGCATTCCATCCTGGGTGCCAGACCTAGACTTCATCTCAAAAAATAAAAATAAAATAACTCACAAGTGGCAGAGCTTCAAATGCCCACTTCCACAAGCAAACTGCAGGTCGTTTTCAAAGTCAAGTGCTGTATTTATTGTAGTGCTTATTATGCATTTCTTAAGCATTTAACTTGGCTAAAACTGCTACTATAAGGTGGGGGGCTCCAATCCTTTTTTTTTTTTTTTTTTTACGGAGTCTTGCCCTTGTCACCCAGGCTGGAGTGTAATGGCATGATTTTGGGTCACTGCAACCTCCGTCTCTTGGGTTCAAGCGATTCTCCTGCCTCAGCCTCTCGAGTAGCTGGGATAACAGGCATCTGCCACCACACCCAGTTTATTTTTATATTTGTGGTAGAGACGGGGTTTCACCATGTTATCCAGGCTAGTCTCGAACTCCTGACCTCAGGTGATCCACCCACCTCGGACTCCCAAAGTGCTGGGATTACAGGCATGAGCCACGACACCCAGCCCAATCCTTTCTTTATATGCCACTGAAAAGTTTTCCAGTGTGAAACACTCCAGCTCCATTTTTCCCATGAGCCCTGTGGTTTTTATTGTGTGATTTTGCATAGCGCAATTACTTGTAAAAAGGAATGTGTGTGTCACCTGATGGAAGAACTAATTGTAGAAGTAATTATAGACATTGCTTTTCAGCATCCTTTTAACAATGGTTGAGAAGCGCACTGCCCCTTTGAGAAATTGTTTCTGTCCCTCCCTTTCCTCCCTCCATAACCACTAGACGGCGCGCTCCTCCGTTGGGGTCGGGCTCTGTTCTCTGCGCCTTTGCAGTGGCAACCTCAACCGCGTGGACCCCGTTCTTGCACTCCCGTCTCACTGAGGTTTGATCGGGTCTGGAACGACTTCACAGTCTGGTTCTCCTCTTTAGATTAGATTTCCCCAATCCCCGTGCTCATTCAAGATTTACTTCTGCCCATTTTAGCTCTGGCTCCCGTTCGGATGGCACTTCCTCCCATGCTCTCTGCAGGAGCTGCCTCTCTGCACACCTCTGTTCACCTGCTCACCTGGTTCCTCTGCTCACCTGTCCTGCCATTTAACCCACAGAGATCTACTTCAGAGACAAAAATGTCATTATTTCATCCCTTTCTGTACTTCATAAAGAAATTGGTCTGCATGCTGCCTTTGTAATATAACATAAGCCTAGATAATGTTCTTTCACATCCATTTGTTCAGCTGGCCTTATCCACCTTACTTACTTTCATTTAGCTTCCCTATTACAGACTTGAAAATTCGGTATCCCAGAACATACTTTGTTTGGGGCTGTCTTTCACTCATCTTTACCACAAATTCAAGGTCACGCCACCTAGTTTGGTGGTGTGTGTTGGAAACCAGCACTGAGTCATCCATAAAAACAGAGAATTTAGGCCAGGCATAATCCTCATGCCTGCAATCCCGGCAATTTGGGAGGCTTAGGTGAGTGGATCACCTGAGTTCGAGAGTTCAAGACCAGCCTGATCAACATGGAGAAACCTTGTCTATACTAAAAATACAAAATTAGCTGGGCATGGTGGCACATGCCTGTAATCCCAGCTACTCAGGAGGCTGGGGCAGGAGAATCACTTGAACCTGGGAGGCGGAGGTTGCATTGAGCCAAGACGAAGCCATTGCACTCCAGCCTGGACAACAAGAGCACAACTCTGTCTCAAAAAAAAAGAATTTAAACTAAAATAACTGTTCTTCAGAGCTGGCATTCTCAGTCCTATGTCTTCAGGGAGTTCTCCGGTTTCATGAGATGAGAATTTCTTTCTAATGTTTGGATGAAATAGCAGCTACAAAATCGTCGGCAACTTGGGGTCCAAGTTTGTTCTTTCCTGTAAATACTGGTTGTTCAATATTGGAACATATTTCTTACAGTCACTTAAAATCCTCGTTTCTGAAATCAAAATTTTGATTCTCTTTTCTTCTCGAATAGAGATCAGCAAACTACGGTCTGTGTTTGGACTGCAAAACCTAAAATATTTACCCTCTGGCCCGTTAGAGAAAATGCTTTCCAACCCCTGTTCTGGAACCTGAAGTGTGATTGTTTAACAGAAACTAAGGGTCCTTGAATGAGACATGGAGATGGACAGGCCCCAGGAAGTCAGTGAATCCTCTGAAACTGGGTTCAAAATTTGGTTTGTGATACAAATGTGCATTTTTGTAGGAAAAAGAACCAAAGCTATCATCAGAGTCTCAAAGGAGTCCAAGACTTCAAAAGGTTTAAAAACATGTTGTCTACTTAAGGGCAGTGTGACTGAGCACAAGAACCCACCATAACATCCTCAGGTGTGAGCAACAAGGCCGATGTGCTTACATGCCTTGTAGGGCACTTCAGAATCCACCTCTTACTATAAAATGTGGAAAAGACTTTGTGAAACCCAATACAAATATGGTCTTTCCATTACCATTTATTTTCCTCCTTGGGTGGCAAGGCCTGATTCCCCCACCCCACCGTTCTTGTCTCATCTGAAGTCCATCTTCAGACTCTTCACCCCAGGAGCCACTGAGTCAGGGCTCAGGCTTCCAACCACACACCCTTCTCTGCGTCTTCCAGCATTACATCAGCTTCCAGAGTCACAGCCTTACAATTACATGCCAGGAGCCCTGGAGCTGGATTTAGGGCCCATTGCAGTAACTGCCTCTCATCTCGTTCCTTGTGATATCTGTCCCTCTCTTCGTAGATGCTCTTCTGCCCTTTTTCGATTAGTTTATCACCATGATGGGTATTTGATATTATTGGACGCTGTGGGATGTCAGTGATGAATGTGAAATTGAGGATGGCAGAGACAGAGCAGAGCACCTCCCATGGCACCTGTGAAAGCCTGTCCCAAACCTTGCAGGTAGGAGGGATGGCGTTTGCCTTTAGGAGTTTCTTCTGAGCTGTAACACCCACATCTTCCCTGATTGGTTTCTATTTTCTTTCAATAATCCTTCATTTTATTTGTTGAGATCACTTTGAACTTTTATCTTGTTTTCCAAAATGCAGCCTCCCGCCTGAGTGTGTCATGTATAAATGCAAGGTCATTAGCTCCGAGGCCCACTCAAATCCGCAAGAAATTCATTGAGACAGAAAGTGGCTACTTTTTTTTGCATTACTCAATCTCATCACCTACAAAAGAAACGAACACTGGCCAGGCACATGCCTGTAATCCCAGCACTTTGAGGGGCAGAGGTGGGCTGACTGCTTGAGCCCAGGAGTTCTAGACCAGTCTGGACAATGTGGCAAAATCCTGTCATTGCAAAAAGAAAATTACAAAAATTAGCTGGCATGGTGCCATCCAACTGTGGTCACAGTTGCTCAGGAGGCTGGGGTGGGAGGATCACTTGAGCCTGGGAAATTGAGGCTGCAGTGTGCTATAATCACACCACTGCACGCCAGCCTGGACAGCAGAGTGAGACCCTGTCTCAAACGAAGCAAAACAATCACAAACTATGTTGGTGGAAAGAATATATAGGATTCGCAGGATTCCTGGCTTTAGTCATCAGAGTGCCTGTCATGAATGTGGAAAAAGACCTGAAATCTCCACCTCGGCCCTGCAGTGCTGGCAGACCCAGGCCTCTGTTTTATACCAAAATATTTAAAATGCCCCCTTTATTATTTTGAATGGCATTCATAGATGTAACATAATCCACCTACGTGCATAATTTTTATGGAAATCAATATAATGTCCTAACTGGGATATAAAAAAGAAATAAGAGGAGAAGTAATTTGTAATGAGTTGGTACACGTCTCAATATGTGAATGCTTGTGTGCAACTAGAAGTGAAATGAGCTAAACACTCACACCTACTTATAAAGGATATGCTTGGATTTAAGAAAAGTAAGATAATATTCAACTGACATTTCTTAAACTTTTGTTTTTCCAAGGCAGGGTCCTGCGTTTCTCAGGCTGGAGTGCAGTGGCACAAACAGCTCACTGCAGCTCAAACTCCCACCTCAGCCTCACGAGTAGCTGGGACTACAGGTATGCACCACCATGCCCAGCTAATTTTTGCATTGTTTTGTAGCTATGGGTTTTTGCCATGTTGCCCGGGCTGGTCTTAAACTTCTGGGATCAAGTGATCCACCTGCCTTGGCCTCCCAAAGTGCTGGGATTACAGGAGTGAGCCTCCACACCCTGCCTCTTCTCAAACATTATTATTACACTTGACATTTTGAAATGAGGAGTAAGTAAATTGCTCACACCGTCAGACCTTGGTGTTGGCTGCTCCTCCCCCTCTCCACAGCCCTTCCTTACTTCCTTCAGGTCCCAGCCCTAATCTCATTACATCAGAGATGCCTTTTCTGACTCCTCTCTATAAAGAGCAGCCACTGCGCCAGCCCTGGCAGCTCCATCTCCTTTTTCCACTTTACTTTCCTCCATTGCATTTACCTCCACCTGTCAGTACCTATTTCCTCTTTCATTGTCTGTCACCTCTTCTGTCCACCAGAATGCAAGCTCCATGAGGGCAGGCTTGGTCTATTTTGTTCACAGCTGTATCTCCAGCTTTTAAAACAGTGCCCGAGTCTTGGTGTGCTGGCTCACACCTGTAATCCCAGC